AGCACCTCTCTGGGAGACGGGTGGCCGCTACTCGACATCCCCACCTGACAAGTGGGGAAACACAAGCACTCTGGTGACCCAGGGCCATGTGGCTCTCAGTGGCCAAGCCAGGCCCCAGAGGCCAGGCAGTGGGCTGACTCCTCCCTGCGAAGGATGGGAATTAGCAGGGCTTCTACCCAGAGTGTGGACTTCCTGTGGAGGCCGCTGCCCCTCGGGGATCTCCCTGTGCCAAGCAAAGGCCTCAGAATTTTCTGGGAGGAACAGGCGCGCGCACGCACACACACACACACACACACACACACACACACACCATGACAGCTTCTACATTTGGAGCTGACAGATGTGCAAGGTAACAGCTCTACACCGCCTGTGCAGCTGAGGCCCCAGCGTCGCGAGCGGGATTATTTCCAGCGAGGCTCAGGGCGGCTGCGCGCGCGCACGCCTGGGTGTATGTGTGTGTGAGAGAGAGAGTGTATGAGTGTGTGTGAGTGTGTGCGGCTTCTCTCAATCTCTCTCCCTTCATTGAAATGTCGAATCTTTCTCTCTCAGTTTTCCTCCCTGCGTTTCTCCATGCTCCTCTCACCGTCCTGCTCATCTTGTTTCCATCTTTCGTCCTCAAATGTCTGTGTTGCTGCCTTGGCCTGACGCTCCAGAGAGGACACTTGCCTCCTCCCAACTTGCTCACTTTGCTCCTGGTCCTGTTCCTGCCCACCTAGGCCGGCCACAACGATGGACTCTTACAGGACACTGTTGGTCCCACACAGTGACGCAGCTGTCCCTGCCCTGTGCATGGGATTCCTGTCTGGGGATGGGCTGGGTAATCTGGGATTGTCCTGGGGCTGAGACAACAGCCCTGCCCCTGGGCTTGGTCACTGTTTCAAAGGCTGGCCTTCTCCTCCTTAGGCTAGCTCACCCTAGCACTCTTCATTTCCGTACAAATTAGCACTTTAAAAGCCAATAGTGCAGGCCTCTTTTGCTTCCCAAAGTTTTCCATCACTGTCTTGACATTCTCAACTCCTACTCCACACTGAGCCTAGCCCAGCCCTGTGCTGACCCCACATCCGGCCTCACAGTGGCCACTGATCCTTAATTGACCCTCAGTTCTGACCTCGGACTAACACCAACTCCCAACCTTGGCTCTGTCCCCTGGGCTTCCTCTTTTCTGAGGCAGGCTGCCTCCTTTGGTCTCTGTCAATACCATCTGGGCTTGCAGCTCACTTTTAAAACTAATTCATTAATTGATTCTTTTTCCCAACTTACTTTTTAATGCTCTAGTGAGTGCAAGTGGGAATACCATCTAGATCCACTGAATTGGGAGTCTGGGGTGAAGAAGGAACTATGGGGCGATGCTTTCTTTTTAACTCCCCAGCTGATACTGAGACAGGCCAGACCACTTCCACAATAAATACTTTCCTTTAAGGACACCCTGGGGGAATGCAAGGGGGTGTTGAAGCTGCACATAGGGATACCTGAGCTTGTTTGCAGAACCCTGACTCCGAGGCATAAGACACCACACCCCAGCCCTCTCAGAGGCTTCATTACTCCCCTGGCAGTAGACCACAACAGCATTCACTCTCGCACTCCATTCATTCATCAAACATGCAACACTGTCTCATTGGGTTAGGTCACAGGTCTGTGAATACACACAACATCTTGAGCCTGAGGCTTAGATCCCTGGGGTCAAGTTGGGGCTTGCAAGGGCAGGTTCCAGGCAGCAAAGGCTTCTGCAGCAACAGGACCAAGACCTGAACCAAAGTATGGGCCAGAGAGGATCCTGCAGTTCCACCAGGAGGCACCGGGTCTGGGGAGTGGGAGCCAGGCCTGTCTCTTCCTTTGGCCCGGGGTTGGGGAGGGAATACACGGACCTGTACGTGAAGAGACCTCTAGAAAGCATCCAGGTTAGTCAGCAGATGAATCACTCTGAACATGGGCGAGGATCCCCCAAAGGGAAAAATAACTTCCTTCTCCCTAACTTCCTCCTCTCCCTCAATCCATCACCAAAAACAGAAATCCAGGGTTCTCCCAGGGCTGAAGGGGTGTGCTGGAAGATGGATGAAGAAGACAAAGGGCAGGTAAGGAGACTTGCTGACAAGTAACAGGGTTCCCGGGTGGGGCAGGAAGGAAGGCTCTCCTTTAGAATTCTGGGGGAACATCTAGCCTTGGGTCTCACCCCCCAGTGCTGCAGTCAGAAGACCTGGGACAGGGCTGGGACAGGGGAGCAAGGATGACTCACTCCCTGTTCACCTCAGTTCTGCTTTTACCCTCCGCCAGCGGGGCCCAGAGGATCAGAGTGATTCCTCAGCTAGCTTTCCTACAAGCAATCTACTGGTTTCTGGTCCACTCTCTCCTCCCCCACATCTCAGATAGCTAAGATGCGATGGGGGTAAGGGAGGTGTAACCCCATGGGGTCTCCACTCTGGTGACTGCAAGTGCTCTTCACCACTTCCCGGGGGCCTGGGTGAGGGAACATGCTGGCACGGGGGGCATGCTCACACATGTGCTATGTGAGTGGGCATCACCACAGCAATCACGTCCCACACGTTCTGTGGGGAGAGGCAGTGGGCAAAGGAGGCCAGAGGACCATGTCCCGAAGCCCAGCTCCCCGCCAGGAGTCCTGGGGAGAGGCTAGGGTGGTGTGTAACCCTGAGTAGCGTTCCAAGTAGGAACAGGAGGGCACCCTCAGACTTGGCTAACAAAGGACTCAGCCACTAGCCTGGCTTGTATTCACAGGACAATACAGGACGGGGTGGGAGAGCTCCTGACCAGCCGGGTCCCAGCTGGTTGTCCTCAGGGATGGAGGTCCTGGAGCTCCTTGGGTTGGGGCCTAGAACATCACTCTCACTCCCCTGCCTCTCATACACCAGCTGCTGGCCCCCAGCTCAGGGGTATTAAATACAAAATCAAAATAACTGCTCAGCTCATTCATGTCAAAGACAAAGAAAAACCTTGTTTGTGTTTTGGCTAATCTGAAGCCCTGTTAACCTGGCAGCTGGGGCCCGGGCATGTGCAGGCATGTATTGTGTGCGCTTACATGTGCTCATGTGTGTGGTGGCCAAGATCAGTGCAGGCCACGCACTCTGGGAACACAAATGTCTCCTTACTCCAAGGGTAGGGGACCTGGGTAGGCTCAGTCCAGGTCAAGGAGCATCCTCTGGGGAATCCCCGTGACCAGAGTCCATGAGCCACTAAAGAGGTCTTGGGGCCTCCCAGGAAGAGTGATCCCAGCCCTTTCTGCCTCCCCTGCTCCCTGGAGGCCCCTGCGAGTCCAGCAATCCTAGTGTAAGGGGAAAAAGAGAGAAAAGTCTAGGGTCATTTCCAAGGCTTTTTAAATCCCTGGGCTCAGACAAATGTCAGGCGTGGGAGGGCCTCGCCCCCTTGTGGGGACATGTGGTACTCCTCACTTAGGCCTGGCCAGCCAGCCTGGCAGGGAGAGGGGAACAGCCCTGCCAGACCTCCACTCTGGGGGAGCTGGCACTGACTGCCCTCACACTCCCACAGAAGCAAGAAGCCCAGTGGGGAAGATGGCCCATGACCCTCAATGACAGAAGGGGCAGACCCAGGTTGGCGTAGCCCCACCTTTAGAGGTAAACCTGACACCACTGGGTGCAGAATGACCATGTTTGAAACGCTTGGAGAAAGATTTGCAGGAAGGAATCTTAGAGCTCCTCTAGTCTAAGGAAAGTGTAGCCAGGAGGAGAGGAAGAAGTGCTGAGGGCCCGCCCGTAGCATCTGTCAGAGGAAGTAAGACCCAGGGCTCCTATTTCCCAGGCTCGTGCACTTTCTCGTGAGCACAGTGAGTCCAGGACAAGCTGTGCAGATTGAACAGCAGCCCCACTGAAGTCTGGAGCCGTGAGAGGTCTTGCCACAGGTCTGCAGAGGCCGAGGCGAGGGGGCAGAGATGTGGAGATGATGAGCCCGCAAGTGAGGCTTCAGGATGACCTGCATCTTAATGTTAAAAGGCAATATATAATATTAGCATCTTTGCCACTTGCTGCAATGCTAGCACTGTGCTAAACATTTATAAGCATAAGTCACAATATTTACAAGGATCCTTTGAGGGAGGCACTGTTATAAATCCACATTTTTTCAGACTGGGAAATTGAGGCACAGAGAAGCAGAGATTTGTTTGGGTTACCAGCTGGTAGGCAGGAATACGAGTACAGCAATTTTGACTCCAGTGAGGGCAAAGGCTGTGCTGTGTGAAGAGAGCATGTGTTGCTCATGCCCTTCTAGAATACCCAGTAGGGTACTGCCAGCGCTGACTCAGGGCCCGCCTCCAGGACAAGAGTCTCAGAGAAATGCGGCTGCTTGTTCTCCAGGAGGCATGGCCTCCATGCGCCCTCTGCTGTGCACAAGGAGCAAAGAGCATTCCCTCCTGAAGGACTGAATTCTGGAGGAAGCTGGCAAGGACCATGCTCTCCTCTGCAAAATAGGGCCAGGGCGAGGGGCTGACTGGCTGTAGACCACCACCACCATAGGCATCTATTAACAGGCTGGCAGGATGCATCTGGTTGCACTCTTGGTTTCTCAAGGCCTCCCTCTCTTGGAATCTTGCCCACCTCCCCCAAAGATTTGCTGGTTCTAAGCCCAGGTGGACATTACCAGGAGGGCCCATGGCAGGGGAATTGGGACCCATTCAGAGCATTGCCATGTGGGCAAGTGTAGAACTGGGAATCTAAGAGAACCAGGGAAAGTACCCATCCTCAGGCCCTGAAGGTTAGATACTCCTTGAATAGGTCCAGGTGGAGGAAAGGTAATAAAGATGGGTCAGTGTAGCCAGAGGCATGAAGAGACAGGGTCTGGGATGCCCACCTTGGCCAACTCTGAACAGGGGCTTAGGCAGGGCTCAGTGAGAAGAGGCAGCCCCAGACAATTCCCCAGGACATAAAGACAGCATTCAACTTTGGGTTAATTGCCTCAGGAACACCCCTAGATCCAGCAAACCAGGGAGTTAGTCGTGGCTCTGTATCAGAGGAGAAAGCAGGCACTAATAAAGGACCATCAGCTTTTATTTGTTTCTGCCTTTGACAAAACCTCTGTCTGAAGGACAGGTGGTAGATTCTAGAAAGGGTATAAGAGTGAACACATGAAATTCAACAGGTCCTGCTACCCTGAGCAAGGGGCATCCCTGTGGGACAGAACTTGTGCTATACTCACTCCCCCCAGGTCACCTGTGGTCCCTCCTATGTGGTGCCAGTTCACCCCTCTTCTTCCCATGAGCTGGCCCAAGTTAGGAGACCCAACTTCTTTTCAGTGTTCTAGCATCTTATCCAACTTTATCCATCCTTGAAATTCTACTCCTGAGGGACGAGAATGCCAATACTCTAATTTCTCTCTCCCTAATTCAGGGTGCTCAATACATACTCCTGAGGACAGGGACTCCAGGGGTCAAAGGCCTCACAGCTGGCTGGGCCTGAAGGCAGGCCAGTAGGCACAAGTGCTTATCTGTGTAAGGCAGGTCTGGCAGTGTGGCCGGATGTGGGAAGGCACAGGGCTCCTGGGTGTGCCTGAAAGAGGGGGATGGAAGGCCCAGGGACCAAGAACACGGGCTTATTCATCATAGTAGTCAATATGGGCTCCAGACTTGAACGTGTCCTTTTGTAGCAAGCTCAGCAGTTTCTGAGCTGACATTCTACAATCCACCAGCTCCCCCTTTGTCTTCAGCTCTTGCAGTCTTTTTCGTAATTCTGGGTCCACAGAGGTCTCCCGGGCCACATGCTGCATGTCTGTGTCCAGGGGACCTAGGGGAATGAAGAACAGAAGATGAGGGGGGCCTGCTGGGCATGTAGAGTGGGGTTGAGGGTGAAGTCAGATGTGGCTGGAGATATGAGGCTCACTGAGGATCAAGCTGCCACTGTTGAGTTATAGACTCAAATTCCAATGCACATTGAACATGGTCCCCCCAGGCCACCAAATCTACAACCAAACTTATCTCCAACCAGTATCTCTTACAGACTTGCCTACTTCTGTTAATGAAGTGCTCTTCTTCCAGACTCTAAACTTCCTCCTCCCTCTCCTTTGTCCACACAGCCAACTGGTCACTAAGGAGGACACTTCTGCTTCTGCATGCCTTGACAGTCATGCCCTTAATACAGTCCCGCTTCAGTTCCATCTGTACCCCTCTGCTAAATGTACCTTGCTACAAAACATTACTAGAGTCAGCAAAATGGCAGCACAGGAATTTCTAGCACTTGTTCTTCCACAGAATTATCAATTTGAACAACCATTTTCACACAAAAAATACCTTCACAAGAGCTAAGGATTCTAGGTAAGGGGTTATACCACCTAGGTGAAACACAGAAAGGAAAAAGTATGCATTGAGGAGGACAGGAAAGATAGAATTATACTATTCCCACAGCAACTCCTACTCCCAAACTGAGCAGCCCAATGCAGAGAGATACCCTCGCTGTGGGACAAGAGTAAAGTGAGCACAAGACTTTACCACACACCTAGAGCCAGCCTACCCCAGCACCAGGCCAACTCCCACAGCCCTAGGCTCTTAAGAATCCAGCTCCACTCCCTTTCCCCTCACCCCAGCACCTGTCAGCTATGCGGCTCCAGGTACTCCCTGCAGTCCCAGAGAACCTCCATGGCACCAGTCTCCTTTGAAACCTAGCCCTTAATCCACCCTGGTGCCTGCTGGCTCCAGCAGCAGGCTCTGGCAGGGTCTGGGACCCCAGGCAGCTTTCTCAGCTCCAGTCTCCCAGAGGAACCTGTGAGCTCCAGCCCCTGATCCACTCTAGCACGAGCTGATTCCCATGTCCTCAGGTGGCTCCCTTGGCAGCAGGCTCACGGCACCAGCCTGTTCCCATGGCCTTCCATGGCCACTGGCCCCCCAGGTTCCCAGTCAGTGCTTTCAAACCTAGCCTCTAGGCAAGCAGCCATGAACCTAGGTTTCTGGCCAGATTCATCCCCAGACTGACCACCAGGGACCCAGGCTTTCAACCCACCCCAGCACCACGTCACCCAAGGATTCCAGCAACAACCCCACCACAGAGAGCACCAAATGGCTTACCTACAATCTTTGGGAAGATTGACTAGTGAAGAGATTTGCCCACCAAGTCAGTGTGTAAAGACCAGAAGAGTTTCCTACTTCCTCAAATGCAGAAACAAAGGCAAGGACGTAAGGATCAAAAATAATCAAGTAAAATGACAACAACAAAGGAAACTACAAAAACTTGGATGACTGATCCTAGAGAGATATATGAACTATCTGAAAAAGAATTCAGTATAAACCTCTTAAAGAAATTCAATAAACTACAAGAAAACACAAATAGACAAATTAAATTAAGAAAACCATTTATGGGGCCTCCCCGGTGGCGCAGCGGTTGAGCGCTGGGCTGTGAAGCTGCCCTCAGCCTCTGCATCACCGGTTCGATCCCTGGCCGCTGGTGCACAGACCTCTCCTGTCTCGCCCACTGCTCCCCTCAGCAGTGTACTTCGGTCCTTCTGCCTGTTCTGCTCCCTGCTTTGGCTCTGGTGAATTCTCTCACCCTCCCGCGCTTCTGACTGTACCCAGTGCTTGTATGGATAAATAAATCTAAAAAAAAAAAAAAAAAAAAAAAAAAAAAAACTATGTATGGACAAAATGTGAAGTTCAACAAAGAAACAGAAACCATTAAAAAAAAACATACAAAAACCCTGGACTTGAAAAATCCAATGACTGAACTGAAGAATTCAACAAAGAAGTCAACAACAGGCCCAATCAAACAGTGTATTTGTGAACTAAAAGACAGGTCATTTGAAATCACCCATCAGAGGAACAAAATGGAAGAAAGAATGAAAAAGAGTGCAGGAGGTCTACATGGATTTAGGAATACCATTGAAGAAATAATACACACAGTTTTGTATTCCCAGAGGAAGGAAAGAAAACTTTAAAGAAACAATGTCCATGAACTTCTCTAATCTGCAGAAATTTGAACATGTAAATCCATATAGCTAAGAGGTCACCTTTAAATTTCAACACAAAATGACCTGCTCCAAGACACATTATAGTAAAACTATCTAATGCTGGCTACAAGAATAACGGTGTGCGTGCTAGGGAGTGAGAGAGGACTGGATATTGAACAACATGAGGAAGCAGAAAGGCAAGGTTTGATCTAAAATCCCCACCTGGATTTTAAAATCAGATCACTATCTCACTGCCCCCAGGGCCAGGGGGAATAGACTCACGGATGTCTTACCTGAGTTGTTCCATTACACAATAGCTATGTCACCACTTTCTAATTCCAGCAATCAAGCCTGGAACGGAAGCCTCACTTCTGAGAAAGGGCCACAATGGCATTATGGTAGAGTGATGAGAAATCAGACCAAGTGTTACAAGGCTGGTCCTACCCTTTATATTTATCATGAGGACAGGGAGCCCCTTAAATATCCCAGCACCCCCAATATTCCAGCCCAATTCAGGCTAGGATGGTCAGCATCAACAATGTCTATCTGCTCATTATTCAACTAGCATTTAGTGTAGGGTGACTCAGTGGGGTGCTTTGCTAGGTGCTGGAGACATACAATAGTGCATGATCCCCACCTTCAAGGTTTTCCTATAAAGAAAGGCTGCAGAGAAGTAAACACATGAAAACAACAGTGTGCCACATTCTACCTAACAATTAGAAGTGCTAACAATTAGATAGCACTTCACAACTAGGGATCATTTTCACATCCATTACCCTTTCAGTCCTCCAAATGGCCTTGTCAGACAGCTAGCATCTTATCTGTTCACATGAGGGAATGGGCTACAGATCTGGAATTCAAACCTTAATCTTTTCTCAAACTAATATCTCAGACTCTCCGGCCCCATCCTCCAGTCCAGGCTGCTCTGCATTCTCCCCATATCCTGTTACTACAGCTCCCTCTCCTGCCAGCTTTAACTTCCTTGGCACCTGTATTTCCCTTACAGAGTGATAGGTAATGATTCAGGGACAATAAATTCCTGGAGAGGTAGATTAGGAGAACCAGTGGTTCTGCGGGAGAGGGGAGGCAGTAGCACCCCGCCTACCTGGGGCATAGCTCAGCACCCTCACACCAGGTTCTTCTGCAGCCAGCACCTGGAACATCATGTCCCGGGCAGCCTTCCCTGCACAGTAGAGTGCCCAGCCCTTGAAGGGCTGCAGGGCACAGAGGGAAGAGATGTTAACCACAGTCTTGCTGAGCCCAGGGCTGTCCCGGAAGGCCTTCAGGATGCTGGATGTCAGGCAGAGTGCAGAGGTCAAGTTCAGAGCCCAGTAGTTGTTGACTTCGGCTGGGTCCCCCAGGTCCACAAAGCCTCTGGACACATCACCAAGAGTACCTGAAAAAACAGACCTTAGGTTTCAGAGCAGGAGGGGCTTTCTTTTCCCCCAGTTCTCTCCAAATTTCTCCACACACCCCTTCCCATGCAGACCTAGAATAAGAGACCCCTTTTCGCTTCAGGAGACAACTCCCTCTTCCCCAGCCCTGCAGACAGACAGGCCTGAGCCCCAACCATTTACCCAAGTTGCAAACCGAGAAGGCTCATGGTCTGCTCTAGGATCCCACAGAAATTCTGGGAGTCTTTTGGAGAAGCCAGGAAATTTACTTCTGCCTTAAGACCCCATCCCCTTACTCAGGTCTCCGCCAGAGGGCGCGGAGGAAGACCATCCGGAACGTTCCACAGCGCTTGGGAAAACCTGGCCTCCAAACCCCGCCCCGGACGAGGTAAATGAGGCGCCCCGGCAGCACCGGTCTCCACTTCTCACTGAACCAGTCAGCACCTTCAGGCGTCTCTTCTGACTCACAGGGATCACCTTTAGGTTTCCAAGCGGTGTGAGAAGTGAAGGAGGGAGACTAGGAAGGAACGCCAAGCGCGCACGCGGGGTCTTACCCGCGTTGTTGATGAGCAGCAGTCGCTGCAGCCCCTCGGGTCTGGGGAGCTTCCCCAGAGCGCCAAGCAGCTGCTGCAAGCCGGCCTCGGTGCCCAGGTCGGCGGGCACGCGCTCCACGCGGAGGCTCGGCCTCTCGGCGTTCAGCTCGGCCTCCAGCTGCCTCAGTGCCTCGTCGCTGCGGGCGCTGATGACCAGCACCGAGCCCGGGGGCAGCAGCGGGGCCAGGAGCGGGGCGAGCGCCCGGCCGAAGCCGCGGGAGGCCCCGGTCAGCACGCACACGGCGCGTCCCCGGCCGCCTTCCATGCCTGCGCCCTCTGCCCGCTGGCGCTGGAACGCGGGACCCGGCAGGGGGTTGAGCGCCGCGGGAGGGGGAGCTTCGCTGGGAGGAGCAGTGGGGAGGAGCGGGTGGGCGGCGCGGGTGGGCGGGGCGCGGGTGGGCGGGGCGGGTGGGCGGAGCGCGGGTGGGCGGAGCAGGGGCGGGAGTAGGCGGAGGCCCAGCCCCGCAGGTGGAGCGGGCCAGAGCGGCAAGTGTTGGCTTGGCGTTGAGACCACCGTGGCACTTGTTTCCTTGGCAGCTGCTTGAGGAAATGAAAGTGCGCACCCAGTCAGCTTCCTTGGGCCCAAACAGACCGAGCCGGGAGGCGTGACCTGTTCGGGAAACCCTCGCCCCATTCTGAGCGCGTTCAGCACCCCAGCAGGGGCGCCTTCTTCCAATTCCTGATTTGGTGGTCTTGCGCAAGTGACTTGCTATTTTGCTCCGGACTGGGCATCACTGTCAGTGGTCAGCAGAACCCCTCAATGACGCCAGACCAGTTTAGGACTTGGGGAAGTTACCACCCTGAGAGTAACAGAGCTCCTCCAAATGATGTAAAAACCTCTTCTTCCTTATTAGGTTTCGAACAACTTGGTTCTCACCCCCATCCTCCTATCTCTGAGGTTTCTGGTTCTTTTTGTCCCCAGAGGTCCTTTGTTCCCCGGGATTCTGCACCCATTCATGGTACACTGATCCTGGCAGGCAAGGCCATCTACTCCCAGTCAAGTTTATGCAGATCATCACCGAAGTTCGTACTTCCAGTCTTGGGCTTCAGAAAACCCACATTTCCAGGGGTTTTCAAGGACAGACAGAAGATGGGAAAGCTGGCAGACAGTACAAATCTCCTTAATAGGGGACGCTTCTGAGTTTTTCAAGGGAGGTGAGCACCCTCAGATAACTTAACCCAGGTCCCCAGAGGCCTGCTCACTCTCATGGGGATAGACAGCAAAGTTGCCTTACAAGTTTTCTGGAAAAACTGTTTTGCTTCCTTGTATTGTAGACCATCCTACCAACACCAAAACAATGGGGGGAGAGGGAGAAGAATTTAAACTTGTCAGCATAGGTGCCTTTACCATTAATTTTTGTAAAATGTGCATTTCATCTTGAACATCACAGTGGAATTAACACAGTGGGGCTCCAGAGACACTTTCAACTTAATTTATTGTTAATGTGTGTTGTATTATTTTGAAACTATTTTATATAAGGTACGACAAAGAAAGTAAAGTTAATGTTGCTGGGAACCAAGATTTTCTGACTTAGAGAATAGAGACCAAGTATACAATTCAAGGAAGTTAAGGGGAAAGTCTATAAAATTGTATTTGAATTGGAAGCCAGAAAGTTGTAGAATCGATTGCAGTTACTTTTAGTTTAATACAATAATACCAAAGGGACAATTTTCTCTTTGTGTTGGTTCTGCAGTGCCTGTGTAACCTTTGTTTTTACCAGCTCTCTCGGCAACAGTGGCAGAGTTTAAGCAGGGCCCAAATAAAGTCAATAGTTGTGTTTTGTTTGGCCCAGATAGGACTTTGTTTTCCTTTTTAAATTTGAGATGACATCTCAAAAGTAAAATTTTTCAGATACTATCAGAATTTCCAGCTTCCTTTGATAGATGGTAAGGCCTAGCACACTAGGCTTCTGGCTGAGGTCAGCAGTAGTTCTTCTGAGAAAGGCGACTGCTCTCTGGTTTGCCCACCTTCTTACAACTCCCTGGTGGAGGCATCTGACTTCCCTTCTCAGATTCAGAGCTGAATTCCTACCAAGTGGTGATGGTCAGGACATTTATAGTCAGATCACAACCCATCAGAACAGACCATGGCCACTGTGCTGGATAGTGGAGAGGTGGGCCTGGGAGGGATAAGGAGGCTTTTGATATTTTAACAAAGATCAAACTCTGTGTGTGTGTATATACTATTGAAGCTTCCTGATTTTCATTTCTCTATATCGGTTGTTCAAAAACAAAATTCAACTGAGTACACTTTAAAGATTTTTTTTTTTTCGGTTTAAAGATCTTATTGACTTTATTCAATGATTCACGAGTCTGGCAACATCTGCTCTAGCAGATACAAGGGAGCTCTGAAGAGCTAGTGAGAGGAAAGGATTTTATAGGCTGAAGGAAATGGAAACTGTAGTGGGGAGAAATACCAAAGTGAAGCTGGAGGTGTGGGAATGAAAGAATTCACCAGAGACAAAGCAGAGAACAGGAAAGGCAGATTTATTGAAATACACTGCTAAGAGAAGCAGCGGGCAAGAGAGGAAAAAAAAAAGTCTGCGCTTTCTAACTTGGGGTGCCCGTTTGCACCAGTTGTCTGCTGGGACGTCTGGTCTCATATGCTGGCCTCTGCTTCTGTATCCCTGGAGTTGGGCTGGTTTTTCTGGTCATAGTGGTCAGTCTTATGGCCTTGTCCCTAAGGCAATCGTACCAATCCCCTTATCCATTCAAGACTCCCGAATCTGCCTGTTGAGCAAGGAGTGGGGACTTAGATTTTAACCTTCTTAAATTGTACCCCAACAGGAACTTGGAAGCTACAGCAGGCAAAAAAGTGCTTTGGTTTTTGTAAGATGACTTTCCTTCAGGGTATAGCAGGGGTCTCTCAGGCAAATTACCTAACTAGTACTGATCAGGAGAGTCCTGATTGATTGTCTGTTTTGAGATTCCATTTCTGAGAGTCAAAACTGCAATTAACTTAAGACTTGGTTTGGTGATTCAAAAAGGCAAATATTAAGTGTTGGCAAGGATATTACCTTGGTCTGGGTGGCTATAATAAAATATCACAGACTGGATAGCTTATAAACAACAAAAATTTATTTCTCACAGTCCTGGAGGCTGAAAATCTGAGATTAGGGTGCCAGCATGGTCAGATAAAGGCCCTCTTTTTAGGCATAATAAATGGCATTTAAGAAATGATGAAATTTCTTAGACACAGAGTAAAGTAATATAAGTCTGGGATTTGCTTTAGAATACTTACATGACAAAAGCAGAGGAGCAGGAAGAGAAGGAGGGGGAGGGAAAAAGGAGAAGGAGAGCAAGGAGGAGGGAGGGGAAGGAAGAAACAGGAATAGGGAAAGCAAGGGTAGCAAATCTATTTTAAAAGCTTTTTCTTTTTTGGGGTAATATTGATTTACAACACTACCTAAGTTTCAGGTATACAAATTCACCCCTTAACCACTGTACATGCCATACCATGCCCATCATGAAGTACTATCCACTACCACCCAACCTACTCCTCTGCCTATTCTTCCCCCACTCCCTTACCCTGATGGTAGCCACCATCATGTGAGTCTAAGAGCTTGTTTTTGCTTAGTTTGTTTGTTTGCTTTGTTTATTTATCTTCCATATATGAAGGAAAGCTTGGGTACATGTCTTTTTCCTTTGATTTATTTTACTTGGCATAATCCCTCCAAGTTCACTGATGTGTGGCAAATGGCAAAATTTTAATCTTTTTTATAGCTGAGTAATATTCCAATGTGTATATATATCATATCACATCTTTTTCCATCCCCCCATCAATGGGCACATATGTTGGCCTTTGCAAAAAGTGCTTCAGTGAACATAAGGTACATATATCTTTTGAAATAGTGTTTCCATAGTCTTCAGATAAATATCCAAAGGGGAATTGTAGGATCATATGGTAATTATATTTTTTATTTTTTGAGGATCCTCCATACTGTTTTCCATAAAGGATGCATCAATTTGCAGTCCCACAAATAGGTATTTCTCTTCACATCCTCACCAATGCTTGTTATTTCTTATCTTTTTTGATAATAGACATTCTGACAGGTCTGAGACAATAGCTCATTGTGGCTTTGATTTGTGTTTCCCTGATAATAAGCAATGAAGAACATCTCTTCATGTTTCTGTGAAGAACATCTCTTCATATTTGGCCATCTCTGTGTCTTCTTTGGTAAAATGTCTATTTAGATCTCGTGCCCATTTTTAAATCACGTTGTGTGTTGTTGTTGCATTGTATGAGCTGTTTATATGTTTTGGATATTAACCTGATGTTTGATATATAGTTTGCAATATCTTCTCCCACTAAATAGGCTGTCTTTTTGCTTGGATGATGGTTTCTTTCTCCATGCAGAAGCTCTTTAGTTTGATGTAGTCACATTTATTTACATGCAAAATTTTGATAATTTGATAATTACTGTATTATTGAATCTGAACTATGCATATTTTGAGGGCCATTATATTACTCCCTCTTATTTGTGTACGTTTGAAAAATTTTATAATAAAAAACATATTTAAGCCCTGCAAGCTAGTAAAGGGCTGGAGCATTTTACATGTTAGATATGGCCAAAAAGTCCTCTAAAAAGACTAGAAGGATTCTATGTCCCAACTAGTAGCAGGTAAGCATGCCCACTATACTATATTAATGTTCTTTCATTCTTTTTTTTTTTTTAAGATTTATTTATTTATTGTACACAAGAACCAGAGTACAGGCCAGATGTGCGGGAAGGTGACAGGATTCACCAGAGACAGTGGGGAAAAGAACAGGCAGACTGACGAAATACACTGCTGAGGGAAGCAGCAGGCGCGACAGAAGAGGTCTGCCGCGCCATGTGAGACCCTCGCCAGCCGGCCGGGATTGAACCGGTGCTGCAGAGGATGTGGACAGCTTCATAGCGCAGTGCTCAACCACCTGCACTACCAGGGTAGGCTCTGTTCTTTCATTCTTTAGGTTTTAGTAATGTTGTGCATTTTATTTCTTCTGTGAACTGTTTACTCATTCTCTTTGCCATTTTTCTACCAGACTTTCTATTTCTAGGCTACTTTTAATTTATTTTTTTCCTTGTTGAAATTTTATTTGTTCCACTTACTTTCCCCCCTATAGATTTGGAAGTTACAATCCTATTTTTAGTCTACAACCATTACCTTTGAAATAATATTATAAATGTGTGAACTTTCATTTTTCTATCAATGTTAAAAGTACAACATTTATTTTGGCAAACAAATATTTGTGTAAATATGATGTTGAACATTATATTAAAC